GGGTGGGTGGGTAGGTGGGGGAGAGTATGGGACCCACGCCTCTCGACCTAGCCCAGCAGGAGGGAAGGGATGCTCTCCTGTCTTTGTCTCTTTCTCTGTTTCTTGGGCGTGCGGAGACTCCACTACATATCTATCTATGTAATCTCAGTATCTCTATTTATTGTGGACAGTCCACTCTCTCTCTCTCTCTCTCCATTTTATGAGACCTTCCCATCATATCCTCCATTTTCTCATTTTTTGTTTTGTTTTGATTTTTTTTTTTTCCTTTTGTTTTTTTTTGGCATAAAGTTGCCTGCTCAACTATTACATTCATGCCAATTTACCAGTCTATCCTGGTGCTGCAGAACAAATCACACGAGATTAGATATCGTTCTGACAAATAAACAAAATCCTTAAATCCATAAGGAAGAAAAAAAAATTCAAAAAATTGAATTATATTGCATCAAAGATCATTTGCCTTAAAGTATACATGCGTATTTATAATAAACTGAACCCTAATTAAATAAAGAAATAAGGAAATAGGACAATTCCTTACTAGATACGAAAATAAATAGAAAATTACCAAAATAGAAAATATGAGTTAAGTCTAAATCTGTATGCTAAGAAACAATAGAAAGGAGCCAAAACAGACGGCGCTAAAAACGGAGTTCTCAAAATAAAGTTATTCTCAAAACGAACCTTTCCTAAAATGGCAAAATCGCTAATTTGAAGGCCCAAACAAAGGGATTTGGCTAAAATCTACCGTTTATCATTGTTGAAAACGGAAATGATTTCGATTTAAAACGTCGTTTCCGATCAGAGTACCAAATTTGAGACAATTCTGAGCTCGTCCCAAAAGTGTCGCTATTACTCTTAATTTGGTTTTTTTCTTGCCTTTTGTCTATCCAATTGTTCCAAAAAATCTTTAGCTACTTGTTCTACATCATACCCTCTTGTTCTAGCAGAATACGCTCCTTCCAAATATTCAAAAAGCATTTTGCTTCCTTTTCTTTTCTTTACTTTGCAAAGTGTATTTACACATTTTTTTTTTCCTTTTGAAATTTTTATTTGAGTGAGTGTAATTGTTAAATCACATATTCCTTTAGACAAATAAAACTTCGTTCTATTTTTTATAAGCTTATTTTTTGATTACCCAAAGAAATGAAGCAACAATTTTAGATTGCAGACAAATTATTTTTTTCTTAAGAGTTTAAACTGTCACTTTTATTTTTACTTTTCTTTTTCTTTGTTTTACAAGGAATCTCACTAAACTATTATTTAAATCCAAAAGACGTTTGAATTTACAGTTCATTCTGGAGTTAGTCCTTCTAATTGTTGATAACACAATTAATAGCTACACACAATTGCTAAGAATGCAGATGGAAAAAATAAGGAGTTTCTAATTGCACCCACTAATCAAATCTCTACACCTATTTGTACAACAGTTGTATAAGTGTTACAAAGCATGTGTTATATGTAAATAAAAAAAATTAAAAATTAAAGAGTGTATTTAAAAGCACCCAAAATGAAGTGCTCATTTGGTTGTGAAGTTACCTTGTAAAAAAAATGATATTCATACACTAATTTTTTGTAAAATTTAAGAATAGAATAATATGACAATAACATTTTTGTAATTAGGAATCGTGCATTTTGATTTTCAATAAATAGATATAAATGAGACACATCATTGTGTTTAAAAATTTTATATAAAAAAATTATTTGTATAACATTTGTAATGCGTGGTTTAGTCAGGGCTCATTGTGAAGGACCGGCTCACAATTATTTAGAAGGCCATTGCTATCTAAAAAACCTATTCTCCTCACCTTTCTCATTTTGGGTCTCCATCTACATTACAAGTCAATGAAATTAATAATAATAATAATAATAATAATAATAATCCTTGAGAGCATGACCTCTCAAACAGGGGGTCAAACCTTTTTCAATAAAATTTTATAAGCCATTATCTTCAAAAAGGTCTCACCCACACCTATTATATGTCTTTATTACTTAGTATTATATAGATTACATAGATTTGTACGGCTAAGAGTGATTTGTTTCATTTCATTAATTCATTAATTCCAAACAAAGACGACGTAACACAATTGGGATTACTATATTTTCAATTACAACCTATAATTACACCCAAATAGTTATGCAAAATAAATAACATATTGTATCAATACTATGGAAACTCAGTCTTCATTTGGTAAGAGTTAAAATAGTCTGGCTTTTTAGTTTTTTAGCTATCTTAGCCTAGCTTTTTTAGCCTCATTTAGTTTTTGTTTTTGACTTTTTTAACTTTGTGAGATAAAAAGTGTAATGATTATAGTTTGAATGCGACATTTTATCTTATTGACTTGTGTATCCAATTTTGTCTCTCGTGTTTTTTTAGCCAAAAAATCAAAACCAAACATATAGCTTCAGTTAACTACACCTACACCTATATCTATGGGCACACATCTACATTATATACAAGTAACTATCGATGGGTGCACACATCTACATTACATACAATTACTAGATATGAAGAACAATCTTAGAAAAGAAAAAAAAATAATAAATACATAATTTGTAAAAAAAAGCTCTCACAAATAAATAGGGAATAAAACTCACATGTATGTGGAGCTATTCAAACAATTAACCTCCTAATAAGATACATACATTTTGACCAAACAAATTATTTCAGTTAGTTATGCACATTTGATTAACACATTTAGGTACTATTTAATGTAATATCATCATATATGATATTAAAAATATCAGCAAATATCTCGACATAAGACATAATTAATGACATGTAAGATATCATATCTTGTTATAATCAAATGTATTTTACCTTAGTATTACTGAATCATTTTGTTAGATTTGACTTGAGTCATTTTATGACTATTGACTTTTACTTTTATATCTTATACCCAAAAATATCATATATTTTTAAATCAATAAGATTGAGAAAATTAAATGCAATGAAGCAAACAAACCATGATGTACTTCAACAATAATAACACAAACTGCCAAAAAAAAAATATATATATCAAAAAGGATAAGGAGATTACGGAGAAAAATAGTTTATTTTATTTATTTTTTTAATACAAGTTAAAAAAGAAAACATGGGATGAAGTAATTATCAAGAAAAGGAGGAGGAGTAGGGAAGAGGGGACAAACTCATGTCAATTTTTACGCCTTTTATTTCATGTGTTTGGTTTGGTGCTCCAAATTGTACCTTTTTTTCCAATAGCAAATAGCAAATGTGTCTAAAAAGTGTGTTGGGGCGTTTGAGGATATGGGAGTGACATGCCGTCATATTGTCTTGTACACGTGCTCAGCCTCCCCTCTCCCTCTCCCTCTCCCTCTCCCCACTCCACTATCACTATGTATGGTGTGTTGGAAGCTGACCACGCAATGACGTCTCCCCACTCCACTATCACTATGTATGGTGTGTTGGAAGCTGACCACGCAATGACGTCAACCTGATAATATCACCCTCTCTTTTTTCTTTTTTTTCTTTCTTTTTAATAATTTCCTTTGCAACCTCAGGTGTCCAAATCCATTTGTTTGTGGTAGCTTGACTTGCCTAGGCAGTTATGATCCACTACACAAGCAAATAGCATTTACCTCTATTTTTTCGTTTTTTAATGGCTGTGTTGGGACTACAATGCAAACCTTCGTTTGAGATATGAGTTCACTTTTTAATATTTCGATTTTTTTACTTGAGGCTAAAAAGTTTTATTTGAAATAAATTTTTTAACTTTTTTGAGAGAAAAAATAAAATAATTATAATTTAGATGTAACATTTTGTCTTATTAATTTTTTTAACTTATTTTGTCTTTTTATGACTAAAATAACCAAAAAAAATCCATGCCAAATATAGCAAAACACTTTAATGTTTGAATCTTGATTAAAATAATATAGTTTATTTTTTAAAATCAAGTCGTATCAGATTCAAAACAAGATGAATTGCTTTAATATAATTACTTATACCTAGTAATGAATGATACATGTGATTTTACTATATTTGATAATTGAATTTTCATAAATTTTATACACAATTACTTATACCTAGTAACGCATTGCTTTAATACAATTACTCTATCAGTGTCATGCTTGGTGTTTTTCTTTCTTACGCAACAATTGAGCTAGAGAAATAGAAAGAATTGTTGTAGATTCATCATCATCAACGTGAAACTTATAAATCACAAAATGAAATGTATTACATGTACGCATGTATATATTAACCCACTAACAAAAATTACATAGCTACCTACACTACTTAAATTTGCTTTCTTCTACACTCTCAACTAAGAAGTTACCGAGTCAAATCAATAATTAATTATTCCCTCCTCATTATGGATTTTTCTTTTCTTTTCTCAAGTATTTCTTGTATTTTATAATTTTTTTGGTGTTGAGTTTGTGGGTATGAATTGTTAGACTTGAATGAAAATTGTGTTTTGTTTGGGTCTCAATTTTTTAAGGGTCACCACAAAAAAAAAAAAACACTTTTAGCGACCTTTTTTTTAGTCACCAAAAGTATAATTTTGGTTGCTGAAAGTATTCGCGACATCAACAAATTTGGTCGCTGAAACCCTGTCACTAAATGGTTTGGCGACCAAATCAATTTTGGTCGCCTTATAAATAAATCGGCGACCAAATATTTCAGTCACCAAAAAACTAAAATTTCATCACCAAAAATTAACATTTAGTCGCTAAAAGTAGCATTAAGTGGATGACATGTTAGGTTTTAACGACATATACATGCGTCGCAGAAAATATCTTTCAGTGACTAAATGAATTAATTGTTGAATGTTAAAACTTTTGGCTACCAATCAAGTTTTGGGTCGCTAAAAAAATTATTCACACAGACTTTCAGCAACAGAATTAAAGTGTCACCAAAAGTAAATTTACAACTGAAAAACCTGTCACCAAAAATTCATTATTTAAAAAACAAAATTTACAATTTCCATGTTCAGTACATAATTCATAAGCCTATAAACATAAACAAAATATAATTCAAAGTAACACACTTGTGCAAAGCATCAAAAATATAAACTTAATTCAAAAGTAGTAGCATATTAAATATAAACAAAATATCAAATCCAAAACATCCAAAGTACAAATCCCTTACCATCCCAAACTTTAAACATGTAATTCCAAAAAAACTTCTAAGCTTGCAAATTTATAACAAAACCTATGACAAATATATCCAAAAAATCAAAATATAATCCTTTGATGCTCCTGGAACTATGTTCCATCCATTGCCAATTTGTCAAACATATGAAAAAAATTGCAATGTTAAAATGTTAATAATAAAGTTATTGGTCTGAAAACATTGGTTTCACATTATAGATTAACAAATTAGGAGCAATTTTTCCTATGGTGAATTACAAGATTTCAATATACTAAAATCAAAAAATAACACGTAATTCACCAGTTAAAACTTGGCATATATGAACTAATTACAAGCAATATCTCTACAAGTTTGTAAATCAGTCGCATATTGTCTAACCAAAATCTAGCTCAAATTATGCCATAATGGAATACTGATTAAATCCAATTTTAAGGTTCCAAAACAAGAGCAAATATCAACTGAGTAGGCACTACCAACAGAATGAGATTTCATCCAAAATGCTACCTTTACTTTCATGACTAAATTGAAATTAGAAGGACCTAAATCTTAAACTTGAGGTTGTTTTCACTTATATTAAGGTCAAAAAGTTACTCAAATAAAAACTAGAATGAATATGAATAGTTTGATAGCATTGTGCGCACAAATCGTACTTTACTACCGATGATATGTTGTGATAGTTAGTTGTCTGATATTGCAAAAGCAAATTATGAGATGTGTGACAATTCTGGTATAGGATTATAGTGTTACATATTAGTTTAGTTATTTTTGTAAAGCATATTCATTTATTTTAGCAATTTGACTTATTTATTTGTTGAGTTAGACATAGAATTGAGATTTTTGAAGCAAAACATAGCAACCACCCCCTAATTAGCATATTTGGTCTTATCTTATTTATATATCAAATAGTTTCTTGGATCATCTAATTGTTTGTCATATCATGAATGCTCAAAACATTAGGATTTCATCTTTTTATGTATGTATGTGTTGTGATACGTTCACAGTAGTAAAACGAAACTAAGAATACAATAAGTGAATCCTGTAATAGCCACAAATTTAATAAAAAAGTGTCAAAATTCTTTAAATAAATTAAAAATGCCTTAACAAATAATCAAAGATTACCTGATGTAGTAATTGCCCCCAACGAACGAGTGTAGCTTTTTTATCTCTCTGCATTAACCGATAACCTATAACCTTGGCAATTGTAAATCGAAGTTTAAATTAAAATCGCATTATACATGAAATTAATGGAGAGTTATGGGCATAAAAAATGGAATCTTTTTTTGATCAGCAAAATAATATTTATTGATAAAAAAAACATACATTTCATATGAGATTACATCAATAGACATGAAAGAAGAAAGAAGAAAGAAGAAAAAGAGGAACAAAGCACAATGTTGGTGAGTGACGAACACAGTAGCCACACAACAAACAAGTCACACCCAATATACAAACCAGTAGCAGTCACACCCTATATGCAGAGTTTAATTTCTTGTAGCTTATAAATAATGTCACACACTGAGTACTTCAAGGAGGGGCATGAGATAGCCACACAACAAACAGCATAACAACATAAAGGAACAAAGCAGTAGTAGCCACACAAAGCAACTGCTGCAGCAGCAGCCACACCAGCAGAAACCACACCCAACAGAGGGACAAATTAGATTATACACAATAGAGGAACAAACAGAGGAACAACAGCAGCTCAACCCTTGATGCAGAATTTAACTTGATCAAAAAAGAAGGGGGAAAGCTACATGCATTACACCTCAGCTACATGTGTTATGATCTGTAAGCTTGTGTTATACTACATTTTTTTTTCTCTTTATTCCTTTCAGAAAAATTTCTTTTGTTTTCGATTTTATAAGATGCCATTTGTTCTTAAAAGGAGATACCATCCCTGAAAATATGGGAAATGAGGTTCAATCAACATGTCCCAAAGCACATCATATAATTGAGACTACCCTTTGTTCATAGTGCCACCCATGTTTTAATTATCATATATATATGGGACCTAATGTTCAATGATGAATAATGTGAAACAATTGAGACTACCCTTTGTTCATAGTGCTAACCTTCACTAATATCTTAACCGAAAGTCCAATCACTTCAGAAGGCACTTCACTCAATATAACATTAAAACTACATGATGTTTATATGGAAGATGAAGTGATAGTATTTGTTCCTTGATACAAAGATGAGAGAAGGATTAAGATATAATTTTTTTTTCTTTTTTTTTTTTTTTTGGAAAGGTAAAATTTATTCAAGAAGCAAAACAAAATAGCCCAAAGAAAGGCAAACAAAACAAGAAAACAGAAAAAGAAAAACAGAGAGCTAACCTCTACTGTTCAAAATCCTCAATGGAAGGTTCCAAGCTTGACAAACATCCTTATTAGAGGGAGAACTACCCACCCCAGTCCATGAACAACTTCTATCCCTCACATTTGTTACCACAGGATGAAAAACAACACAAGCATCAGAAGCTTTATTGCTAAAAATCCTAGCATTCTTTTAAAGCCAAATATGATAAATTGCAGCAGAAAGGGCAAGCTTAAACACAGTAACCTTGAAGCTCTTTCCTCTCAAATTTGAAGTGCAATATTCCAATTCAGCAGACCAGCTCATGGGCACTCTAGAAACCTGAAATTTCCTCAACACTTGCCCCCAAATCTAACAAAGTCGGGCATTCAAAAAAGAGGTGATCATGAGATTCATGTGACAGATTACAAAGAACACAAAGCAAATGAACCTCCATTCCCCATCTTTGAAGTCTATCCTTAGTAGCTAATCTTTTCCAGCAGCAAAGCCACAAAATGAAGGCTCGTTTAGGGACATTGTAGCTAAACCAGACCCCATACCACCAAGAAACACAAGCTTGAGGCACTCTAATAGCATTCCAAGCAGACCTAACAGAGAATTCCCCATTAACAGCAGGACACCACAACACAGAATCACCATGCTCAGGAACTTTAAATTCAAAATCACTTCTATAATATACCAACCTGTCCTTTTCCTATTCAAATTACAATAATCACCTTGTTATCATTATTAAATAGGCAGAATCTTCCAACCATTTTTAAGACCTTTGTGACAGACCAGCAACATGTATTAAACTATATCTTGGAACATCTTTTTTCCTTAAGACTTCAATAAAAGACTATTTTGGAAAACAAGGAACAATTCAGAATGAATTAAGACATAAAAAAACTTCGGATTTCTAGAATAAATCAAGGGAAAAATTGGTTAAGAGGTCATTATCAATACAATTTATCTCAAATTAGATGGTCTAGATTAATATGCACAAAAATGGTGAAATAGAACTGATCAACGTCGTACAATTCAAAATCAAGATTTAAACAAAGAGAATTCATATGAAAAAGATTAATTAATTAATTACAAAAAAAAAATGATTACAAAGTATAATAGTAACATGGTCCGGACATCTTGGAAGCTATATTTGTCAAATTCAAAACAAGCCATAGCATCAATCAATAGAGTACGTCTACCCCATTGGAGTTGAAAATTATGTGTGTTTAGGCATGTACCAACACGGCATGTGTCAGACATAGATAACTTATATGTCACTTATTCCTTTGCTAATGCATAAGCAAGAGCAACATACCCTGGATCACAGCTAGGACTTGAACCCTGAATTTCACCTTAATAGATAATGGTATAATTATATGTCACTGACTCACTTCTGATTCAAAGGAAGACTACGGATCAAACTTGGGTGGTTTAGAGAGATGATGTGGAAACAGTTTCTAACACTCGCTAGCGCATGCAGCACATGTAGAGGTGATAGACATGAGATAAATGAGAGAAATAGACCTGGTACAAAGACTTGACACACGAAAGACCACCAAAACCCCAACTCTAATACCATGTTAAAATCTAATCAAAAACCAATTGGCATTGGGTTGAAAGGCCTTTTAGACTATATGGACCAAACTTTTGTGGCTTAGAGAGATGATGTGAGACAAGTCTCCTAACACTAAAGAGTCAAGTTTTGCATAATCAAGAAAAAAACAATATTGTCCAACCTAGAAGTCATTAATTCTTCACCATACTTGCAAAGTTAGGAGCAAAGTGCATTTTGGAAAGAAATGTAGGGCTACGGGAAATATTGGTTTACATGATGGGTGGATGGGAAAGGTAGGTTGTATACAAAGACGATTGACTGCATTGAGAAACTACACGTGTTAATTACATTCCGTCTTTTTTCATAGGTCCTATTTGTGATGGGGAAGGTGGCCGTGACATCCGTATGGTGGTTCGTGGGTTGATTTGTATTTTCACCCCCTTAACGCCCTTTTTCAGTTAAGTTTAATGCATTTTCGGCTCTAACTCCCAAACTACGTGTGCTAATTACATTCCGTCTGTTATCACAGGTCCTATTTTTGACGGGGAAGGTGGCCGTGACATCTGTATGGTGATTCAGGGACTGTTTCGCATTTTCGCCACCTCAACGCTCTTTTTCAGTTAAGTTTAAGGCATTTTCGGCTCTAACTCCCAACCAACACATGCTAATTACATTCCGTCTATTGTCACAGGTCCTATTTGTCACAGGGAAGGTGGCCGTGACATCCGTATGGTGGCTCGGAGGCTAATTTGCATTTTCACCCCCTTCACGTTTTTCAGTTAAGTTTAATGCATTTTCGGCTCTAACTCCCAAACTACGTGTGCTAATGACATTCTGTCTATTGTGATAGGTCCTATTTTTCACGGGAAAGGTGGCCGTGATCCGTACAGTGGTTCGGGGGCTGTTTCCCATTTTCATCCCCTTATCGCCCTTTTTCGGGTAAGTTTAAAGCATGCTAATTAAGGTGTTTTGCCACAGGTTCTATGCGTTTTTTTTTTTTTTTTTTGTTTAAGGCACGCTAACTACCCATCTCGTCACCAACCTCATCATTGACCTAAGACCATCACACTCCCATAAATTTACTTAATTCTACATCTAGAATTTGACTTGAGACTGGTTTGATCACAACATCTATAACAATTGAAATGATCAATTAAGTAAACGTACATGACGTGAGGATCACATGCATATTTGTTAAAATTTACTATCACCTACCACCACTACCACCTCACCTACTCCACTAAACCTAACCCACTACACCATTACCACCTCCACTTCACCTACTCCACCACTTCATCTCCACTTCACATCTCCTATATATAGGAATCAATGTAAACAACAACAACAATATCAATCAATAATACATAAATTCTTACATGGTATCAAAGCTATAGGTTAAAGATCTTGGTGTTCTTCGCCTTCCGGCGGGCGGCAACCTTGCCTTGACCGCCCGCCGGATCTCAACCAATTCAAACCTCCCTCTCCCTCTCGGCACCTCACTGAAACACACCACCATTGCCATCACTTGATACATACACACACCAGCTATCATACACTCTTCACTGCCATTACTTCGCAACCAAACCGTACCATACTATACCATAGTAAGTAACCATTTGCAGAGACCAGAGTGGTGAGAATGGCCACCATGAACCTCCCTTTCTATCTTCTTTCTCTACACCATGGATGACTTTCGGAGAAGCCATATACCGGCTTTCGGAAGCTGGGATTGCACCGACGATCTCCCTTTCACTCAGTGCTTCGAATCGGCGAGGCAAGCCGGCTTGCTTCGCTACAGCTACTCTACAGATCGCGATCTCTACGTCGCCGGCGATTTGTACGAGAACGACGTCGTCCCCTTCCTCCTCAAATACCAGCTCCCCAACGACGACCTCGACTCCCTCATCTCCGTCACCACTGATGAGGACCTCCACAACATATGGGTAGATCTTGTAAATTCTCCGAGCCAAGGCTTCTGCAAAGTAGGTGGTGACTTTCCTCATAGCCCCTGCTTGACCCACCACCCAACTTTCTTTTTATTTTATTTTATTTTCTTTACCAATTATTTCCTTTACCACCACTCACCCATGTGATCCACTCTACCAAAAACAAATAAAATAAATAAATAAATAAGCAAATGAATTGAACCCTCCTCGGGCCACCCAATTCACTTTTTTTATTATTATCATATACATTTTTTCATTCTAAAATATTCTCCACCCAAAATCATTATCACATTTTCCACCATCCAAACATTCTTTATCTTATATATATATATATATATATATAAAAACATCATTTCTCTGATTCCATTACAAGCAACCCACGTGATTCTCTTCTTATTCTTTCTTTCTTTTTTATTTTTCTTTCACTTTATTTTTCATCTTTTTTTTCATTATTATTTTCTCTCAAAAAAAAAAGGGCAGAAGACGGACTGCACACCACACTCATTTTATTCATGTCGGGGCTCACCCCGATCACCATTTTACACCAAAAAAAAAAAAAAAAAACCCACACACAACAACCACATCCACAGGCGGGATTTTTCTTCTCTACTCTGCCGCCGGTCTCTTCTTCTTGCCTCCGTCCTGCGCGACCCTTGACGGTGTTGCCTCCGTGCTTCCTAGACCACCAAGCAAGTTGCCTCCTCCCTGCTCTTCCACTACAGCATATGGTGAACCTCCAAATCGGAACATCACGGTGGCCTTCCGCTTCAGCTCCTTGTTTTCTGCCTTTAGCACACTTATCTCTGCTCGCGCATCCTTATACATGCGTTGGAGCAGAGCCAGTTGGGAGTTTAACTGTTGCACCTCATTTGTCCTGCTCTGCAGCCGGTGCGACAAGTTTGTGACCGCAGTCATGGTTTCCACACATGACTTTAAAGTATACTGATTGGCCTCAATATCAGTTTGCACCGCCATTTTTTGCTCCACCGACCGCATCGAAAAGTTCAGCGGAGCAAACACAGAGGTGTTTGGTTGAGGTTCCCTGGCCACCGCCCCAGTTATCTCTCTTGTTGACTCATTGAGGTCGGGAAAGAGAGTGAGTAGACCACGGGATGAAGAGGCCATATTCTGGGTAGCTGAACGGGAAGAAGAAGCCATGTTTTCATCCCGTGTCCTCTACAACGTTATGACACCACCATCCCGTGTCCTCTACAACGTTATGACACCACCATCCCGTGTCCTCTACAACGTTATGACACCACCATCCCGTGTCCTCTACAACGTTATGACACCACCATCCCGTGTCCTCTACAACGTTATTTTTCACCCTCTCGGTGTCCTCTACAACGTTATGACACCACCATCCCGTGTCCTCTACCACGTTATGACACCACCATATAGTGTCTTAACCAACGGTCTGACACGACCATACAGAGTCTCCTATCTTTTTTTTTATTATTTTTCTGTATTTTTTTATTTTTTATTTTTATGTATTTTCTTGTTTTGTTCCTCTCTCCAAACTCAAGTTGGTTAGTTTCTATCCTCCTTGAGTTTGCGGGGGGCTGTTAAAATTTACCATCACCTACCACCACTACCACCTCACCTACTCCACTAAACCTAACCCACTACACCACTACCACCTCCACTTCACCTACTCCACCACTTCATCTCCACTTCACATCTCCTATATATAGGAATCAATGTAAACAACAACAACAATATCAATCAATAATACATAAATTCTTACAATATTTTTCCTATATGTGCAATGCTGCACCATTGATAAAAGCGTTGGACCAAAGTCCAAACAGAGTTTTATAAGCTAGAAAGTGTCATTTCATCAACTCTAAGCACTAGAAATGCAAATAGACTCAAACCTTGACGGCCAAGGTAATTTGTCCACAATTTTTTTTTTAGTAATTTTCAAATAATGTTTGACAACCAAGAGTAGGGTCTCAAATTCATCTAATTAGTTTGATATAAACATTCAAGTATTGAGAAAAATGAAGAAAATGAGGACATGAATTTGATATAAACATTTAAGTATTCAACGTTTGAACGTACCAAAAGTGTAAGAGTTAAACCAGCAACGAAGCATATGGCCCTATCATTGGCTAAGAATAAAGTCATATCACCCTATAATTGGCTAAGAATAATAGATCGAGGCAAAGACATGACAAATTGTTATTAAATTCTATAAATTTTATTGTATGAATTGGAAATACAAGCAAAACCCTAAACCCTAAGCAAATTCCAAAGCTTTCAATGGAAGAAGAGTTTTGGGGGTCGCATTGTAGTTGGAGTGCTTATTTTTTGTATTTATACATGGTACAGGTATCTCAAACTAATTCATATTTCTAGAAGTATGAACATATAATATTAACTATCTTGTGAACTTTCATAATTCATTTATCTTATAACCATTGCATATTATACTGAAATGGATTTGCTAAACTTGTATGGGCCCTATCATCATATTCGCCATATTTTCCTCTTGCTCTTCAGCAAAGAACAACATGCCAATTGGGCCTATCACGTATTGGACCATTATTAACATCCGAAAAGGAAAGGCAATCATGTAGGATATAAGGTGAAGGATACGTAGTAAGCCATGCACACACAAAGACAAGCATGCAATTGCTTTTCAGACCATATTGCCACTGAAATAAATTAATAACACCTCCCTCTATCACCCACTAAAGGCGAATTGATTATCACATAAGATTCCATAATGAATTTTTTTATGGTATCTCAAAATAATTCCAACAGTGACATATATTATAAAACAGTGAATGCTTGATAAGTAGTTACATCCATATGCATGACAAAACATGTTGTGTGTAAGTCTATGGAATTCACATAAATGACAACCAAAGTTAAAACTACTTTATTTGTCTTTGTAATGCACAATAACTGATATATTGGTATTCCAGGACATGGCACACAACAAAGTGAATGGGAAGGAAACACTAAGTTTAATTGTCATGGGGAAGCTGTCCTAAGTTTAAGCCATTTTCGTCTCAAACTCCAAGCCTACGGGTCCTAATTACATTCTGTCCGCTGTCACAAGTCATAATTGTCATGGGGAAGCTGTTTGTGACAGCCATATGGTGGTGGGGGGCTGTTTTGAATTTTCGCCCCTGGAATGCCCTTTTTCGACTAAATTTAAAGCGTTTTCGGCTCAAACTCCAAGCCTACGTGTCCTAATTACATTTTGTCCATTGTCACAGGTCCTAATTATCATAGGGAAGCTGTCTGTGACAGCCATACGGTGGTTTGGGGGTTGTTTTGAATTTTTACCCCCGAAATGCCCTTTTTCGACTAAGTTAAGGCGTTTTAGAACACTTAAATTCATAAACGAAGGCAGACCCATTTTCCTTCTATTTATATTATTGCAACTCTTGTATACCAGAAAACATGTAACTGTTTTTGGGTGGCTAGCAAATTTTAGTTTTAGCATGAAATCAGGAGGATCAAATCTTAGGAACAACCATTAAATCTCCACCCTGAATTTATTTAACTTGCCATTTAGCCCAACTATGCAAAGAGTTATAACCTACCGGCTCTATTCCTTTTTTCTACTTTGACAACCCTTGTGCAAGCAAGAAATGAAACCACAAAACCCAGCTCCCAAGATTGCTCACCGTGCAGACCATGTTAGTCTCTCTCTCTCTCTCTTTGAAAAGAATACTCTATTTCTGAATTAAAGATGATCTAACCATTGGGTGTGCATATAATTCAAAGCCAATTAACTTCAACAAAAAGGGAAAAACCAAGGACGAGAAAACAAAGAAAAAGCCCAAGAAAACATGCTTCAGGAATGATACAGAGATACATGACAACAAGATCAAATACCTTAGTAGCTCACATGGAGTCACTGCCACTAACATGGATGGATCATGATTATTTTGGATACAACCAAGGTACATTACTAAAAATTCTTAGTCAATATAACTATAAGCAAGCATTAGGAAAGAAAATAATTGTATCACCAGACCAAAGCATTACGAAAGGGAAAAAAATACATGTTTAGTTAGCTACCCACAAAGACCAAGCACCAGGCCAAAGCAGCCAACAACAATATTGACGAAACACAATACATTTTGAAAATTTCTTTCAATACCTCTATGATCAACAATTTGAATCTTAACAGGTTATGAACCAGGTGTAAGTACAGAAAAGTGCCAAAGAGCAGCATAGAAATCCTTGCAACACCAACACTTTCCACAAGTTGCAGGAAGCTAAAGACTTTCAAGAGTAAATCCATAAAAATATAGACATACCAAAAGATAATTAAAAAAATGCAACAGTAGAGAACTGAAGGAGGTTTCTTTCCTCTCTCTAGATATTACCAAATTTAGAAAAGATTTTTGGTGGGATGACGTAGGTACCTAGGATGTTTTCGGTGACATAGCTATGAAATACACACACGTATATATACATGCCCTAAATATTCAACACAGTAAAATTATGGATAACAAATTACCTGAGAAAAGGAAACAAATGTGATGCCCAAGTCATTTGCAAGCCTAAAAAAAAAAAAACCTATTTCAAAATTAGTATGATATGCTGAAATTATGGGTAAGCCTTTTTTTTTCTAAGAACAAAATAATGAGAGATTTAGTTGCATACTTGGATGCACTCATCAAGGACTCCAAATTTATGGTTCCTGCAATAGAATAGATGGGATCTTCATACTCACAATTTCAGGGTTGGGATCAAGGATCTTACGTATGAATGACTTAGCATCAGAAGGAAATTGAAGTGGACATGAAAATTCTTTTTAACATTTATCTACAGAAAACAAAGGAGAGGTAAAAAAGAATGAGAAAATTCACCAAACACAACCATTGTAAATAGAAGAAACAACCAAAGCTATCAACAAAGGTTACGAATTATAGTAAACAACCAAGGCTTAAATGATTATTCAGAAAGGTGAATTAAATCAATAAGAATTTTTTATTAAGTAAAAAGGAACTGGGAGAAATAAAAAATAAAGGTTATGGTGCAGCCACAAGTCATAGGTTGTGCACTAAAAAAAAAGAAAGATTTCAGGTGTCAGATGTTATGAATTTATTAACAACCCAATAAATTATGTATCTTAATTTGGAAGCACGACTACTATAAATTTTTTTGTATGAGTTTATGTTCATGAAATAACTTGAGTTTGGAAAACAAATTTAGAACTAATTGGCATTAAGAATTTTGTTGTAAAACAACTTGCAAATGGTTTTAAAAAAAAAAAAAAAAAAAAATGTATCCAACCATTACCTTGTCATCACACCATCAGTACACAACTGTAGGAGAAAAGAACATTTTTGGAAAGAGAGCACCTTTATTTGCTGGAATTGCTTTCTTTGGGAAAACACAAAGGCACTCAACAAAAGAAAGCAAGTCAAATAGAAAAACTAAAAGCAATTCCGCAATAATATATCTTACATGCCTGCATAGATGATGTATGGAGATTGGAGACTAGCTAGCACATTTTCTAGGATTGTGTTCCATTTTTTTCTCACTTCATATTACATGCTCTGTTTTCTTTTTCATTACAAAGTACAATCCGCAATGAATCCATGAATCTCTCTTTCTGATCAGTCTTTGAATATAAGTAGGGACAAAGCAAATACCAGTGGGATACCTCCAAAAGTACCAATAAAGGAGATTGTTCCACATTGATTGTTAAACTAAAAACTTGCTATAAGCAATCCTTGATGAATGGTGGGATTGTGAACGTTTCTTGATGAATGGTTGCAAAAGTAAACTGCATATGCAAATTCCACAGTAAACAGAACTGCCAAAGTTCCTGCTAGAAATGAAGAAGAAAGAAAGAGATACACTGTGGAAATATATACTGCTTACCTTTTGTATGTTTTGGTCCATTATGCTTTTTGTGGGGTATACCTTCTTAACGCTGTTATGCCAATCAAGAGCATGAATTATTCCCCTCATGCAGCTTGGACAATTAACCTCAACTAGCTCATCTTCGGATTCACTCCATAAGTGCTTTCCCATTTCTAACACTATAAGCGATAATCCTAAGAACTTGATAATGGAATTCAGACACTATCTCCTCCAACCTGATAGAAGTAATTAAGCGAATACCATGTAAATAATCATTTTGATCACTAAACACATGCAACTCAGATACTAAATTCCAAATAACCAACAACCCATTTCTTAAAAGCTTGTTAAATCTCACACAAAACAAAAATCAAACACTTTGTCAGCAAGCCAGAAAACTAGGCATTTTACACAGATTTTTCTTGTGGTTTTTTCTAGACCAAACCCAAACAGCAATGGCCATTGGTGACATCTTTGACCAATCCTTTCTTATTACTACTATACTTCAATCGCTCCACAAATTCATCAATGACTTGCTTCAAACAAGACATGAGCTATTCTCTCCTCACAACCCCTTTCTCATCCTCCTTAGCTCTCATTCCAACCTCCCATATCTTGTCTATAAACTTAGCATCGGTCAACTGGTCCAACCATTTGGGTACCCCAACCATTGGATATCACGAATAACCCATAAAACAATTCAAACCAATAAAACTAAAATCCATAAAACTAATTTCACAGAAATCAAACAAAAATCAAACCAATTTTGGACATCAAGAATAACATTATTTCATAGAAATCAAATAATTCAACCAAACCCATTCACGAAATCAACACAAAATTAAACTAAAAAAAATCATATAAACCTTAGATGAAGTGTGAGAGATGGGGAAATAGGGGAAGGCAGAGAGAGAGAGAGAGAGAGAGAGGACTGAGAGCGACAGAGAGAGAGGGACAAGAACCTGTGATTTGCGGCAGTGGAGGTGGTGATTTGCGGCGGTGGCGACGTGTGGCGGTGGCCAGCGACGTGCAGCGGTGGCCAGCGACGGTGAGGTGGTGACCGTCAGTGAGCGTGCGTCTGGTTTGGTGTATTGGTTTTTGTGTGTTTGTGAGACAAAACAGAGAAAAGATCTGTGTGAAAGAAATAAGACGGAATGGCGACAATATTTTCCTCTAAAAAAAGTTTGGGGCCTTTAGCGACTAAATAAATTTTTGTCGCCAAATATAATCAATAGCTACTAAAAGTTTGTAACTGTTAGTTTAATGTTGGCTACTAAAAATGTTTTTGTCAGTAATAACTACCCATCTACGACTACAGTTTTTTAGTCACTGATGGTTGCAATAAATAAGCCTATTTTTGGTGACTAACAAAAATTTTGGTTAGCAAAAGGCTATGTACGCTGACTAAAACCATAATTAGTAGCCTAAAATGTAAAAAAATTCCGACTAAAAAGCCTATTGACATATGTTTAGCGACTAAATATTTTTTTAGTCACCAATAATTAACATATGGCTACTAAAAAACTTTAGTAGCTAAAAGTTAATCATTGTTGACCAACAGGAAAATTTGTCGGTAAAGGTCTAACTTTTGGTGACTGGACATGTTTTAGTAGCCAAAAGTGGTTGCCAAAGGTGCAGATTGTTATGGTAGGTGAGGGTGAAATAAGGAGTTGGTGATTTGCCGGTGAATTCCAATCAATGGTGGTCATCGGTCGCTGATGACAATATGTTAAAAAGGGAAAGAAGTAAGGCATGGTCGCTGGTCACCAAAAATTAGAAAGAGAGGGACAGAGATGAACAAATAAGAAAAATACGTAATGAACTTTTGAAAATATCCAAAAGATTGTAGAACTAAATAGACTTCTATTATTTTAAATAGAATTTTCGAGTAATTTGCCATTCAAATGTCCGGCACTCTTTCTAAGATTATATGAAGTGTCAAAGCATGACAGGGTATACGTGAAAATCAATTGGACAACCGTTAGAAACTTAACCTCAAAATAAAAATAAATACATGAAGTTGCTACCAAATATATGACCTTAGTAATCCTAGGATATTACTACTTTGGTGGTGAGGGGCCAAAGGGCTGATTTGAGTGGTGGTGGTTGGTGGCAGAGTTGTGGATTGGATGGCAGTGGAAGCGGTGGGTGGAAGTGGTCTCACAGTGGTGGAGGGACGTTGTAGTTTTTGGCTCATTCTTTCATGTTGAAAATTTTTAACAAGGTAGGCTTTGTTGGCATATAGTTTTTGAGTTAAAATAGTCACAAAAATACAAAATAAATTAAAAAATTAATAAGACAAAATATCACATCTAAATAATAATTATTTTATTTTTTCTCTCACAAAAGTCAAAAAACCTATTCTAAACAAGACTTTTTAGTCCCAGGCCAAAATAACTAAAAAGTTAAAAAGCTAAAAAATCAGCTTACATCCCAAATGAAGGCATAATTAAATTAAATTGATACAATGTAAAAAAAAAAAAAAAAAAAAAAAAAAAAATTTGATTAAATAGTAAAAAAGATGCAAACACTATAGAATAATAATGAGGCATGATATGATAAAACACATCCAAATCGAATTCTCAAGGCACAGAACCTTGTTGCCACACCAACACTTGACGGTGGTTTTCTTGCTTGGAATATCATAATTACCTAGTAGAAGTACTAGGCATTTCATTATCTTACAAAAGCAAATGAAACAAACATTACTAGAAACACACACATTGGCACACTGGGCCTTTTCAGAGTTGTAGAGAAAGAAGGAGAGAGAATGTCAAGCACATAACCAAGCTCTCTAGGTCATCTGAACATCTCTGTTGCTATTGGCATCCTTTACCCCCAACTTAATTTGACAGTTTTCTACGGCTGATTTCCAATTCTTGTCTTTCAACCACCTTAGTGTCAATTGAATTGTGTGCGCAAGGAGCAAAATCACCATCACTACACACCACACTGGAACTGCAACATACAATGTGCGACGCAGTGATACCCTGTGTGTCTTTGGAGTGACCGCAACCAATGAAAATGCATAAGAAAATGCTATAGATGTAATTGACAAACACATGATCGTCGTCAAAATCCTCATAAAATTCTTGCGCTTCAAGGGCAATCCGCTTATGAGCAGCAAAATTGTGCTCAGAGATGCAACAAAACTTATCGTGTTGGCACGCAGATAAAATTGATATGACTCTGGATAAGTATAAGCAGCCACGGCTTCTCCAGTTCTATGCGGGTGTAGTGAACCTTTAGGTGAATCATTTTGCCACACACCTCCTGGAGGGCTTACGCCTGCTTGGAAAGCTATCGTTGCGAGAAGTGATGCCACCACCATTAATGCATCCCTTTTCTTTGCAAGCCACTCACCCTGATTGTCAGCCGCTTTCAAGGCTCCAGCTTGTTTGAGGGAGTTTTGAATGTCCCAATCTTGCACTCCTCTTCGACTTTGAGCTAGAATGTCCAATGCTGTATATCCGTTTATATTTTTTGCATTTACATCTATTTTGTCAATCGTGAGTAGATGTTGAACTGTCTGCAACACATCAATTTTGTCATATCACATTACATAAAAGAATTGACATTAGGCCAGCACAAAGTTGAGGGGAAAAAATGGTTATAATAATTGGAGTTCAAAAGTTTATTGGAAGAAGACTGATTTTCACATCATTGGCAAACGTCGTAGGGTTATTCAAATCCTATTTCCATCCCTAACGATGCAGTGGTTCTTGTGTACAGAATTGGGGAATTGGTTTACATGATAGATGGAGAGAGTGTTATGGTGCCTTATCACGAATAAGCTAAAAGAGTGCTATGAGCAGGTTTATTTATTGTTGTAATTTGATTGTTATTGATTGAGATGGTAGGGTAGGGTTCCATTGGTTTGAAAAGTAAAATAAAAATGTAAACAATATGACATTAACATTATTGATTAAAATTTGATATGAAACACTGTTCCAAGAGAGTGGCTAACAATTTCCCCCTTTTGTCATCGTGGCAAAAAGGCTGTTTGGTCATTTTGCACTAGGAATTATGCTTTGATAATTGGTAAAGTTCCTGCAGCTAAAACCCGCCTTATCTCCATATCAAATAGTAGTAAAAAGGAAGAATTTTTATTTTTATTTTTATTTTTGTAAATTAAATTAAATTTTGTAATGGATTGATAGTAAATCAAACAGTTTGTTTTTTTGTTTTTTTTTTTTTTTGGTGTGCGCGCGTGTGTGTGTGTTTGGGCATACCTGGATTTGTTTATTTGCGACTGCTACATGTAATATGGTGTTGCCGTAGTCATCTGTAGCATTTATAAAACCCTGAATCTTATCTTTGAGTGTGTGGACTAATAGATCAAGGGCTTCCTTTTGATGATACTTGACGCATAGATGTAGTATGGTCTCACCGTGGCCCTGGTCCACCGTGGCAGTAGCTGCTTGGCGGCTGGTTTGAAGCAACTCTCCCATGACCTCGACCTTTCCGTTCATGGCTGCAAGATGCAGAGGATTCAAACCATCTTTATTTGGAGCAGTACACATGTTAGGTGCAGCTGGTACTAATACTTTTACAATATCGATGTGCCCTTTAGCCGATGCCAAGTGAAGAGGCGACGATCTTGTTGAATCTAAAACTTTAGCAAGCTCTGAATTTAGATTCAAGAGTTGTGTTGTGAAATCAATGTGACCGCGCAATGCGGCCGCATGAAGAGGAGTCTCATCGAAATCACAACCCACTATTAGCCTATCAAGAATCAGTGGATTTTGTGCGAGTATTTCATGCAATAATTGTGTGTTCCCCTCCATTGCTGCTTCTTGGAGCCTCTTCTTCTGCTCAATCTGCTCCATACTCTCTCTCTCTCTCTATTTCTTTTTTTTTTTCCCCCTGTGAACGAAGGGCATATATTTTTGTCCGACGACTAGTCTCTCAAGTCTTTCAAGAAAAAGACAAAGACTTGCAGGCTCAAGTCATTCACTACGCTTTTTCGGGGAAATCATGATGATGGCTGGACGAGGTCTAATTAATGAGTGGTATTATATTTTTTAATAGGGTAAATTACATTTATTTCCTTTGAGGTTTCTGACAAATATAAGAACTTTTTCTGTGATTTGAATAATTACAGTAATTTCTTTTATTTTATTTGACAATATCAAGATTCCTCCTGTTGTCAAAAATCACTAAACGGTGTTACTTTTTCCTTCAGAAATTACTTTATTGCCCTTTCCTTTAAAAATATTAAAAAATATTTTTGAATTGGAGGATAGGTTTAGAGTGTTTGGAACAGTATTTTTGGATTTATTTTTTTAAAATATTAAAAAATATTGTACAACAATTATTTTTTTTTTATTTTAAATATATAATTTTTATTTAAATATTTTATTTTATTTTGTAAATATTTTAATATTTTAATTTTAATATTTTAAACTCAAAACACAATTTCACACTCAAATCGTAACCAAACATATAACTCAAAACTCAATTCAAAAATTATTTTCAAACCTCATAATCAAACACAAACTTAAAACTCAATAAGTTTTGAATGGAGTTTTAAGTTTGTATTTAGTTATGAGTTTTGAAAATAATTTTTGAATTGAGTTTTGAGTAAAAACATGTTCCGAAAAAAGATTTTTTTAAAAACATGTTTGGTTCTCTTTTAGAATCACAAATCCAATTAGAAATTTTCAAAAAAAATTTCAAAACTCATAGAGTGTTAACTAATTACACAATTCCAATTAGAAATTTTCAAAAATCTTTTCAAAACTCATAGAATCACAATTCAATTAGAAATAATTTCTTGAATTTATTTTTTTAGGGTAAATATTTTATATTTTAAATATTTATTTATTTATTTTAATGTGCATTATATTTCATACATCTATGTGTTGCATTTTTTTTGATATTTTAAATATATTTTTTAAATATTAAAAAATTTTAAAATTTTTATTTTTATTTTAAATATATAGTTTTATTTTAAAGATTTTATTTTATATATTTTTAAATATTTTATTTTTTTGTTATGCGTTTGATTACGATTTGAATGTAGGCTTCTTGGAGCCTCTTCTTCTGCTCAATCTGCTCCATACTCTCTCTCTCTCTCTATTTCTTTTTTTTTTTCCCCCTGTGAACGAAGGGCATATATTTTTGTCCGACGACTAGTCTCTCAAGTCTTTCAAGAAAAAGA